AATATTTTTCTAGAGTTACTTAGTAAGATATGACTGAATGACTATATTTCATTGGATTTCTTAAATTTTTCAGAGGAGGGCTTGACTCGTGAAACTGAAATACAATTTTGGTTGCATGGTTTTAATTAATACAGAATACTGTAAGATTAATAATTCTAAAGGTCTGAGAGACCTAACTCTTAGGCATTGAGAGTATGTGTAAAGAAGAGCTTTTGTGTAATCCAGTATAGTAAGTGTATAAATAGCACCCATCTAATTAATGGCTTAGGAGATTATGTATAGTGCTTGTCAGGGGGTGTATAATTTTTGTCATATTTTGCCTATGACACAATTGATCCTACGCAAAATTCAGAGGAAACATTTGGGATTTTATTTCAAAATTGGAGTAGTGTGATTTCCTGGGTCTCTATTCATTGAGTTTGCTTCAGGAAGTTTAGATAATAATAACTATTCTTTCTGCTGGTGAATTCTGCTATTTATTAACAAATGTTAAACGAGATTATTTTAAAGATGGCTTCACATGTGAGACGTTATACTCACAGTATTGATAAGGGGTCCAAGAGGCTTTTGTCTCACTTGCGTGAACAGGAAAGAAAATACAGGTGTGATTATGACATGCTTGTTTTGCCTCACTGTAACTTTCAAATAAAATGGAGTACTGCATGCATTCAGTAAGTGGCTAAATCTAAAGCCATTTTTGACGGCTTCTTGTGATTGCACAGGTGCTGCAGAAAAGTAGTGGAGACTTGCCATGTTTGCACCTGTGTTCTTCACCTAGAGAAGGAGTCTGTGGGCGGGTCACTGCTCTCTGCTGGCCTTTTTGTCTGTCCAGTTCTGCATCTCTAGGCAGCCAAGGATAAGCAACCAGAGAATCTTAAACTAGATGACCAGTTGTAGTTCCTATAGTACCTTAACAGCCACAGCTGAGCAAGTAGGGCGTGTTTGAGGGGAGGAATGGCCACAGGTAGGGAAGAGGCAGCAAACTGGGGACAGTGAAAGGAGTTTAAGGGGGATGGTTCAAAGATGTAAGCTACATGAACAGGAGAACAGGCCTCATTAGTAGTACTACTAAAAGAATATGGGTTTTTTTAAATATATCATGCTAATACAAAGGGAAAACAGTTAAAAACAGAAAAAAATAGTTTTTTATTTAAATAAAGTTTAAATCCAATGTGGATTTTCATAACTAGGTTAATCTTTTAATGTACTCTGAGCTATCATCTTTCATCTGTGTATTTCTGTGTTGTATTCATATATACAAAAAATTCTGTAGCATAAAGAATTAATGGATACTCTGGTTTGAAAATTCTCCTAGTACCAAAAGGCAAGGAGCATGTATTTCAGGTCATAATTCAGTTCCTTTAAGTATGACCTTGTCAGATATATTAGATAAAATGCTTAAAGGAGTTTCCATGACTGCTTGAAGTAACTTTGGGTTTCACAGAGATTCCTTAAACCAGTTTTCATTCCTCAGCATATGTAAAGCATTAGTGTTGTTGTGTACTGTTAGTTGTTTAGAATTAGAAGAGTTAATTCATAGCAGGAAGCCCACTGAAGAGATCATAAAACTGGTTGGTAGAATTAAGGTGGTAGTGGTAGACATCCTTGATATGTATGAAATACACAGCACAAACCTTCTGCATGTCGTTGCCTGAATTATCCACTTGTGCAAAGGTGTCTCTTAAGTGATTTCTGGTTTAGAGCACTGAGATATTAGGGAATAAAAAAAGGAAGAAAAAGAGTTGGGAGCAAAAGAAGCAAGAATACCAAACCTTTATAAATCACTGTAGTGGTTAGAGTGCTTGCAAAGCGTTTGTTAGCTTGGGTCCTTATCAGTCTCAGAGGGATCAAATGCCCAAATCTCGTGTGGATGGTGCAATTCTAGCCTGTTAGAGGCAGAGGTGTTTCTGCATTGCCAGCTGAGAGGAGGCCACTAGAGAGCTAGGAATGCACGAGTTCTGGAGCCACCAAAACCAAACTGCTTCACAAAAGGGTCAGTATTGAGAGTGATAAGCATATTCTTCTGGAACAGCTGGGGAGACCTGAAATCTAAATCCACCTGGGGTTGAGGGTTGTCTGAACCCAGGCTAAGGTCTGGGAGCTGCCTTTTGGAAATTACAGTGTTCACAGTCTTGTAGTGCTAGATTTAGATGCCTATATCCAATATCCCACCTAACATCTCTGTATTTTTATGGATTATCTTTTAAGTAGCAAGTCTTGCTGGGTAAGGATAGCGTGATTGATTTATTTACTTAATTTTCATTTGCTTGACTGAAGTACATGCTTGTTATAAAAATAGTAAGTCTAATACTTGTGTTTAAAATCTTTTCTGGGAGAACATGGTAATGAAAGACTGGGCTTCTTTCCAGTACATATTCACATTCCAAATCTGAAATGGCTTTGTAGAAAAATAATTTCTATAAATTCAGCATATCCACTAACAACCAGGAAAAAAGGAAACCACCAATTTCTATAGCTTTTAATTCTGTAAAATCAGAAGTTCAGATAGGATGCATTTAAAATTTAAATAAAAATATACTCTAAACAAAATATCTTTCAATTCTCTTTAGAACAATGTGGTTATTACTTATGTTAGATACCAGCTGGAAATTATTTTAGAGAAAGCTGTTTTGGTTTTGTCTTCATTGTTGCTTAGTGTCATAGAAGGAGCTAAAAGATCAAATAAATTTTTAGAAGTATTTAATTTGTTTGCTCTCTGTACTTTATGTATGTCAGTATGAAAATCCTGATTTTATATTCAGTGTGGACAGTCCACTTACATCTATAAGGAAATTTACATTTAGATCAGATAGTTCCATGTGTCAAAGGTATTTTCCAAGTTATCCTCACATTGTTTGGTTTATATTCGATTAGCTATAAATTACTGAAAATCCCACCTTCTCCTTTAAAATTCTCTTCACATATCTAAGCATTCAATTTTGTTTCTGCTGTTGCACAAATAACACAGCTGGAATCCAAATAAATACCCATTCAAGTCAAAAGACAACCTGAATTTATAATTGTGAAACTTTTGACCATTAGCACTTTCTACTTTCAGTAAGGTAGAAAGAGCCTGCACATACCAAATTCTCCAGTTTCTTCGCTGACATTGCCAACATGTTTCTTCATTATAAGAGTGATTTCTGTGCCATCTATGTGTTCATAGTCAAAATAGAGGGCATAGAAATATTTTTTATTTCTCCCGACTGACACTTTTTGACAGCTTCTTTCGCCTGTGAAATACTGATGCCGATTTGGTTTTTTTTTCCCCCTGCTCCTTCCCCGGATACAAATTAATTGTAAAGGACAAAAGCAGCAGACAGTTTTTCCGGTGGAATTTCCACTGTGCCATCTGCTGGTGACGCAAAGCAAGAAGTGAAAGGGTAAGGGCCAGCCTTCCTGCAGTGCTGAACTGTGCTGTCTGCAGCTGGAGACTGTAAAGGCAGCAGGTTTCTGAGTGTCCCTGATGGTGTTTAACGCGGGACAACGTCATTTAGCTTACTTGAAAAGAATCAACTGTAGAGAGAACAATGTCTGGTTTTTTCAAGTGATCATGCTTGCCCTTCTCGGATTCTGTCACATAAGGGTGAGTTAGAGGTGATACTGCCAGCATTTACCTTACAATACCGCAGGTGCTTCCCTCTGCAATTATAGCCTAGCCCTGAAGCACAGAGAACAGTGGAATATTTAAGTTATTTGAGCAATTTTGAAGGAAACAGTTTTGATTCTCAGTTGTCTGCTGAAATCTGGATTGCAGGTGTATATGCATGCAGGTTTTTATCACTAGAGAAAATTCTATCAACTGGAATTTATAATCTAACATTCAAGTCCTCCCAAAGATTTGCATTCTTCCAGCACCTGCATGTTGTAAATAATGGAAGACATGGGCTTCAGGGTGGATCCTGCTAGACTGTGGATTCCACTTGTATGTAGTAGTGTGTGGTAGAAAAATAAAATATTTTATAAGGAAAGAAATGCTTTATTGGAAAAGGTTTGCAGTCATTGTGGAAATATTCTGACTCTAATAAATCTAATAAATTCTTGCTGTGTATTTGGAACTTTAATATTTGAAAGATAATTTCTTGTTTGTCACTTTGTATGTTTAAATCACAAATGGAGATAAGGAAGAGTTGTACCATGAGGGGAATGAGCTATTTGAAATCGATACAGATGAGCAGGAGTGTTGTCCTTTGGCTTTAAAGATAACAGTATAAAGTTAAAATAATTGCAGGATAGTGTTGAAAAAATCTCCAAGAGCATTTTTTTCTTTTTTTTTCTTTGTCCCTTTTCAACTGCTAATCTGAACTTCACAGCAAAAGGAGTGGGAGCACCGTTATTGCAAACAACACAGCTAATACTGCAAATCCACAGAAGCCTGTACTGTATAAAGTCTGGCTTTTCAAAGTATGAACATAATTCAAGATTGCCCTGGTATTTTTTGTGCTTTGTAAGAAAGGTTGAATCTGTTGATCCAGATTTAGTGTCATTTCACAACAGGGTAAAATTATTTTAATTTTCTTTTTTTTTCTTTTAAGATGTTTTTATAGCTTCCTATACAGTCCTAGTCATTCAAAGTTTAGTACAGTATGGCTTTTATATAAGGCCTTTGGATAAATAATGTTAAAACATCATTAAATGAATGATTTGTTTTGCTTCAATCTCTACTAATCAATATTTAAGACACCATGTTAACCATTGTGTGCAACATGCCGTTGAACTTACAAACAGAGCTATATACTATAGTAGTTATATATGTAATTGCAATAGTACTTCAACAGTCGTTGTATAACAGTGGGAAATTAAAAGGAAGCCCTGAACAGCCAGGTGCTGGGCATGCAGGAGGTGAGCTGTGAGAGGTGGCATTAAGAACTGTTGCCGTGTGTGGCATGGCTGTCATCACAGCTCCCTGCACCCCCCAGGCAGTTTGTAATTGTGTCTGCCTTTATCCCCCTGGCTAAGGTCACTGAGAGGAGATTCCCGTTCATACTGGGTGGGTTCAGTGTGCTTCTTCATAGGCTGAAACGGGAAAAGTCAGAGGTCTACAGGAGCGGTAGAGCAGTCGAGTTACCCACTTCACCTGCATGGTGGTTGCAGACTCTTGAACGACAGCTGAGAAGTATAATGGGGATGGGAAGACCATGTGGACCTTGATAGTTAATAGCAGAACTTGTCTATACAGTTTTAGAATTAATGTCAGGTAAGTGTGGTTGATATATTTACCCTGTTAAAAAATCCTGTTTGTTTTGGTCTATATCTTATATACTTTGGATGCCTTAAAGCAGCACTCTGTGTACATTAGTATTTGTAGTCTTAGCATATCTCCTGTCCAAATTTGTTCTAAAAGTGTTGCAGGTTCTTAATTAGTTCCCATGCCAATTTTTAAATCTTAGGTTTCATGACAGCCAGTGGTTTTCAAAGAGGAGATGCAGATTTTTTAATCTACATTCTCTCATTTTTTAGAATGGTTTTTTAACTTTTGTTGGCATCTCCACTGATCTGTCAAGTTCCCACAGACAAAGTGTCATGTCAAAGTGCCGTGAACTTTGAAACAAAATGGAGGTTAACATAGAAACAGAATCATGGCCATATCTCTGTACAGTTTTATGACCAGTGTAAAGTTCAGACTAAAGTGTTCTGATGGTCTGTTCTGCTCTTTAGCTCCCTGAACCACTGAGAGCACTATAACTGTATCTTGGTGTTTAGATTAGGTTATTTAACTGCACTTGTAGTTCAGTGATTATAAAATGATTTAATAAGATTTTGAAAAAGATCCACTGGAACCATTCTTGCATTCTTTGGAGAAATACTTTATCTTGTGTCTAAAAATATGTGTGGGGATTTTTCTCTAACTTTTGGGTTTTGTTGCCTGTTTAGTTAAAGCAAATGAATGCTCAGCTCTTGTCATTCCCAGATGTGGTCCAGCAAGTCCATTTAAAGGACACTTAAGTAACAAAAGTAATGGTAAGTAACATGTACTTTCATCAGAAGGTCAACTTGGTTCCTTTTATGTGAATTCATTGATTTTATACTTAAAATGTTTTTATTAAAACTTCTGCATCAAGCTTATTTGGAGATATTTAATAGTACTTATATTTAGTATGCATTACTGAAAATACTTTCAAGGAGTAAGTTTTACCTTGACTGTGCTGCTGGCTACAAATTGGTAGCAAGATGAACAAATATATAAAGATCTCCCATCTCTATTAGCTGTAGTATACATATATACATATGTTTACCACATAAAGAGCCCCTGAGGTTAAACATGTTCCTTAAGAGCCAGTAGTTTACATAGGCTAGTGATTCTGTGCCATACTGACACCTCAGATACCTTTATTTCAAAAGAGCATAGGGTGAACAACAGGAAGTTTCCATGTTAGCATTTTCATAGTACAATTTCAGTGACTTTTGCAGTTATTTATTGAATTAATGGCTCACTATGGAAAGAAAAAGGATTGAAAGAAAGGATGATTTCATGTGATAGTAACTGGTAAAAAAAATACTGCATTTGAGCAAAGAAGTTAAACAAATGGTGTTTTAAAATTTGTGACTTTGAATTTTAAAAATTTTTTAATTCTGGTATTTTTTTGCTTGCCTTTCTAATGTTCAAATGTATTTTAATCTTACAGTTTTCTGCATTGGCCCCTCTCGTAATCTTACTAACCAGTACCTGGTCAGAGATCACATGGTGGTTCATTATAACAGAATTCTTTCAGCCAAAGGTAAAAATGTGCATATATGAATGAACTGTCTCCCTCTAAATTTAGCTCAATCTCTCAGAATAGGCTCATACCAAGAAGGAATGAACTAGATGAATATTCTTCCTTTTTCTTACCCACACATGTGTCAGCAAGATGTGGCTGCTACTTAATAATACATGTGTATTATTGAGATAGCAAGTTTTGTATGAAAACATTTTCCTTAAATGTTACCAAAGATCCTACCTTAATTTTAGAGCACTTTGATTTGTATTGGCTTCATTCTGCTTTTGTTGAAGTAATGAATTATGAAATAATAGTCTGAACTGAAAGTCACAGTGATAGTTATAACAGCAAACATAAAGAAATTATTTTAGGAATGAAGGCAGAACATTTCTACTTAAACTCAGATCAGAAAGTCTTTCTTTTATTATATTTATTTCAAAAACTTAATGATCTTTTGTTCGTCTTGCAATGAATAGTAATAGCGAGTTCTAAGGTCTGTGAAAATTGCCCTGTGTGTTTGCAAATGAGAAAATCATGTTACTGTCAGAGTCCATACTCACAAATACAGTACTCACAATGTTATCTCTCATGGCATACTCAGTATCCTCAGGTATGCAGGTGAATGCTATCAGAACAAAATATACAGAAGCCTTTTGAAAAGAGGTGATGATTCTTCCTTTAAATATGTGTTTTACCCAGAGAGCTTTATCTCAAATCCTGTGACCATATTGATAACATCCTAATACTTCAGGTACACAGTAACTAGCATGTTTTAAAATAAAGAATTAAATTAATCTTTGTTCTGTTTTGGTTTATTACTACATTTTTGTAGCTATCACATATACTAAGTAATATATACTAAGTAAATATTGAATCACTCACATTTGCTGTTTTTCTTATTTTCAGCAGCTGTAGACTCTTCATTGCCCAAAAGTAGGTTGACCAGCATCAAATGTAAGTATTTGTTATGTATATGTATTTTTATTTGTTATATGTTGATTCTGCAAATGCTTCTGTAAAACTAACTTAGCAAAAGAACCAGTGAAGAGTAACAACAGCATATAACCCTTAACTGAGCATTCATGTTCTGCTTGTTTATTCAGCTTTCAAGTAGTTTATTCAGCTACATGTAGATGCATTGGATCTGCATCAAAGGGAATGCTGGAGAGATGGATCTGGGCTGTCAGTAATTAGTTGTGCTTAGCAGGGCAGTTCATTTCTCAATGGCAAAAGTGTCTCAACTGCAAGAGATAGGGTAATCTTAAGTATATGGTACAAGTGCACAGACAAAATCCTGGACCTTTCTTAACAAAAGCCTTGGAGGATTTCTCTCACTGCTCAATGTGTGCATGTAACTGATATTTTTTTTCTGACCTGCATTAATTTATATGCTGTTCCATCTGACCAAGATTCCTTTACAAACAGATAAGAAACTCTGCCATTTAGGCTGAAAGTTTTGCAGTTATCAAAGAGATAATTCCATGGGAAACACCTACTTTCAAATTCATCATTTTTTGTCTCACTGACTTCTCAGTATTTAAAGTTAAGACTACCCAGACATATCTTGTTTAGTTTCTGCACTATCCTTATAAATTCTAGGTTTTTATAATGAAATTAAAAATTATTTAAATTTTATTTCATACCTGGAGTTAGAGTGGTCACATTCTTTTCATGCAGTTCTGTGCAGTGTTCATCAAGAAATGCAGATTTCTGTACTGTAATAACCATGCAACCAAGTGTGACATGTTCAGGCATTAAGCTCAGTGCAAGGTACCATTTCTAGAGTCTCTGGTAAACCACTGGAGAGTCATTTTTCTTCCTCTGCTGTTTTGTGGAACAGATTACGTGGAGATCACAGCCAATAGCTCAGGCAGTAAGATTACAAATATGCTGAGGAGGAAAAGTAATGGAAAAGGGGTTTTAGAATACTTTCAAAACAATTTCTTCTTTCTTGCTCAAGATAAGACACGTGATTTATCCAGGCGCAATTTTAACTTCAATATAGTTGAATATCAGCGGTATCTCTAGTGTCACTGAGGATGAGGGGTCTGCACCTCTTTATTCTCACAGTAGTTCTTTGTGAGTGGTTCTCAGTAGCATGTCATTGCTTCAACTGAAGCATATTATTACTTTTTTCTCTTTGTGTTCTTTGTCTTACTAGTTATTGCATTCCAAATAAAGTTTCTGTTCCCCCTCTATTTCAAGATGTGGGCAATGGGGTAAATTTAGTTTAAAATTATAGGATTTATTAACAGCATAGAGTTACAAAACAGAATTCCTGCAGATAGTGTTAAAAAATACCTCCTGAAAATGCTTCATGTACTGCTAGAGTAGCAGGCGAGTATTTATTTCCCTTTGGGGTTGTTGCCATGAATCAGTCATTAGTGTTTAAGAATTAAACATGATACTGTAGTTGGCATTCTCCCTGGCCAACTGAATGTGTTCTGTCCTTAAAGTGGATTTAGTTTCCACTGTTCTTTTCCTGGTATCTTAGCTGGCAGCAAAGCAGGCAAGGTGCCATGCCCCTGGGCTAGCAGTGAGCATGTTCTTATGTGTTAGATCAGGCTTACTGACTTAAAATAGTTGTTAGAATGTGAAACTTCTTGATATGTGAAACTTCTATGTTCAGAATTAGTCCAAGCATGCTGATTGATACCAGTGGCCATTAGAAGCCTATGGTTGTGAAACTTGTGCCAGAAAACTTGACAAAGGCTATGCCAAGTAAGACAGCTGCTGCAACACATGCCTGGTTTCTAACAGTACTAACTTTTCAACCCATATGTTTAGAGGTTTTTCCACAAGGCATATTGATAGTACAGCTTGAACTCAGTGATTAGTGTGCTTAGGAATGCAGGTCTCTTTGATACTGGGCAGGGGGGGAAAAAGAAGGAAAACAAATATTCTGAGAAGTTACCCACCACAGATCTATTCTAGCCTAGCGGAACTTGAATTCTGGGAGGGAGGGCAGTGAGAGATGGGGAGAGGCAACAATTCAGACTGATAGTAACATTGGTTTTCTACCCTTTAAAGAGGTTAAGTTCAAGCAAAAATATCAAGAAATACATATTGTTATGTAACTCTGTATTTAAATCTCAATTTTCCCATGAACACATATATCTGTCTGCACTTAACATTATGAAAAAGCAGAGATCTATGAAAAGCTGTTTTACATGTTTTGTTGTTGCTGCCATTTTACAGGAAGCTTTCACAAAATCACTCATCCTTTTTTTTCTGTTAAATCTTGTCCTTAAGTATGTATTTCTGAAAATGAAAATTATAAGCAACCAAAATAAGCTCTTTAAATTCAAACACTAGGTAATTCTAATGCCTGTGTTATGTCTTTAGAAAGGTGGTCTAATATATTTATCAAGTCTGAAATTTGGTGAGCAGGAAAACTTACAGGTAAAATGGCTTTATGAATCTGTACTTTTAACTGTAGTGATTTTACTTTTTTTTTTTTCCAGAAGTTATTTACTGTAAAGTTTCTCCTATAATAAGAATTGTTGAGGGTTTTTTTATGAGAGGTAATTAATTTTAGATATGTACATCAAAAATGCATTTTTCACAACTTCTAGTTGTGAAAAGACTTCAGATCATCTAGTCTGACATCATGAGTTAAGCAAACCAAATGTTTCATCCAGTTGTTCTAATATAGAGCTTAACAGCCATATTGAATGTGGTAAATAAAGCACATAAACAAGAAAAGCCTGCAGTCTTGACTTGTAAATATCAAGAAATGGGGAAAATTATTTCCTTTTGTAGCTGTTTCAGTAGTTATTCATCATTATTACTGAAAATATGTCCCTAATTTTTAATCAAATTTACCCAGCTTTACCATCTCTCTGCTGGTGGAGAGGGCTGTTGTTTTTATACAATTGTCCACCATTACTCAGGATTACAAAATAGCCATAGCATACCAGAGAACAAGAATAAAATTATACATTTCACTTATTTTCAGCATTATCTCAGTACAGTGTGTCTAAATTGTCCTTGGGGGCTGCCTCAGTGGTACCTTGAAAAAAAAAATCACTGTCAAGGGCCACCTAGAAGCCCGATGGACCTCTCTCTAGGGTGCACAAATGGAGGTTTACCTGGGCAGGCTTAGATGTTTCCTTCAGGGCTGGTGCAGCATTCCAGAGGTTGTGTGCAGTCACTGTTGGCAGGCTGCTGTGTTCTTCATAAGGCTGACAGAAGTAGGAGATGTCTGCTGGATGAGGAGCCCATATGAGCATCAGAGGTGGATGGATTTGGGATAATCCAGTGCTTCTAGCCTCTTCTGAAATGCATTTGAAGGATTCATATCTCACAGTTAGGCTTTATTTCCAAGTCTTAGCAATGACCAGATTTCACCATTAGTAGTTGTGTCAAGTAGTATCAGATTCCTGAAGTATATACCCTTATATAGCCATTACTTTGTATTTGATACAAGCTAGGCTTTACTGTCAAGCCCTTAATAAATACTTCGTCACTCTTTTTTATGATGATTCCTTCCTTGTTTGATGATACAGTGCTACTGATAGTGGATGTAAAGAAGGACTGCAAAATCATCTGAGTTATGAAAATTAAAATTTCTGTGTTAAGGAATTTAGATTTAGACTTATAAGGGACCCAAACTTCATAGCTAAAGGCAGAATTCAGTTTTCATTTGTTGAGATCTCACCCCAGGTGCTTAAATTATGGTATCCTGGAAATTCACGTAATGCTAGGAAACTAATAGTAAAAGTTCTTAGAGAAGGAAGAGCTTGCTTGCAGAAGTAATATCACCAACTGATACACTGGACAGTTTAGTTTTGGGCACTAGGCACTTCAAGCTCAGCCAAGATGATGTTTGTATGATTTATCTAAAAAAGAATTCAAAAGGGAAATAACTGTGTGTAATTGCAAAAATAGCTTATATAAAAACACAGTGGAGAAATTCTGAGTGTTGGATAATTCCTTTAAGATACATTGTTCTGTAAGCTGAACTCAAATCTAACTTTGTATTTTATTGTTGCCATCAATTATTTACATCAAAAATGAAATCACTTGAAGTTTAACTGGGAACTGTTTTGTGATAAATTTAGTGATTGGAAATTCAGAGCAAAGGACAACCACTGGCATTGCAGATCATACTGTCCCTCTAAGTGCAGAGCTTTCAAACTGACTAGGACTGTAATAGATATGATTAGATTGTTGCTTCCAGATTTATGACATTTGTTTTATAATTCTAAGCATATCTTGAAATGCTGCTGCAGTCTAGACTTACAGAAAAAATAATTCAGCCTATAGAGGGAGTATTCTAAAAGGGAGATAAAATTATGTGATTTTTGCTTTGAAGTGTGCTGTCCTCTGGGAAGAGTATTTGCCTTGGCAAAAGTGACAGATTGATCAGTGTCTTATAGGTATCTCTTTATGAGGAGTGCTACAGTTTTACATCTGAAATTCAGTCTTATGCTTCCTTTCACTGACAACAAAATTAAGAGAATGTATTCATGGAGCGGATGCAATAAGGTATGGAATCTAGGTTCACAGACTGAATTTTTCTGATCTACAGAATGATTAAATCGTTTATATTCTAGTACATTTTCTCTTACTATCCTATGAATCTGTGGGGTTTTGAGCACAGTAGTTAACAAGATACAATTAATCTCCAAAGCTCTAATAAGACTTCTAAAGGGAATCATTATTTTGATTTACAGACCATATTATTTCCACACGTTTTGTTTTTCTCTTTTAAAAAGATGAAAAGTAGCCCAGTGGGTTTTTGTTTTTTTTCATTTATTTGTCACAAGATATTTACTATTATGTACTATTCCCATATTTAACTCTACATATGTGACATGTTCCTGGAGCCAGTGTTCAAATAAAAACTACTTGCAGTGAAACTGTTTTAAGTATCTGTTAACAAATGCGGTTTATGTTTATTTCCCACAAGTCTATGACAGTATGCCAAGGATGCTTCTTTCAAATTTATGGACCTCACTGAAAGCTAAAGAAGCTTTATATCTGTAATGGATTTGGAGTAGAAGATGCCTTAAGCAGTGAACAGTGTTTTCAATTAAAAGCTAAATCTCCCTTCTGAAATTGGATGTCTCTTGATTGCTGGTCTCTTTCTTTCTGTGGTTAATATATTCACACTACAACACAAGTGGTTATGTATGACAGGCTTAAGTATCTTCAGCTTCTCTCAGTTGTAATACTGTAATTAGTGCCTCAAAGTTCCCTATCTGGCTGAAGTCAAAGCATTAGACTGGATTCTCCAGTTTTTGCATGGGTAAATGACATATGAACTAAGGAGAGGTAGGGCACCATGCCTGTTTCTGCTTTTGTCTGTGTTGCTTGCTGACTACCTCAGAGCTATCCTAACTTACCTCCAGCTGTTTGCATCTACATTAACTCCTTTTAGAAGAATTTCTCTACCTCTTACTTTTCTGGTTTCAAAATTCCTAGCTTTTACCATAGATCTAGCCTGAAAATTCCTGATTTGGCGTGTATAATACTGGAGTTTTCTGACATTCTGGTTTGCACGTCTGTGCTGCCTTTCAGTAAGTACATGAGTGACGTTATGGCTTTTGGAGCACACTTAATGGATTAGCTGAGCTAAGCTCACTGTATGACAGGTGCGAGGCAAGGACTCCACATTTACCATGCTACCATGATGGTAGTCCCAGTGGCTCATTTCGATATCCCAAGATACCCTTAGCTGGAATCCCTACTGTTCTTTCATTCTTTATTCTGGAATATAAGCCATGCTTTGGGTGAAAAGTCACAGCACACAATCCTGGAGGAGGTTTTTTTAACAGCTTTGAATGTCAGTAGTAAAGGCATTCATGTATGTCAAATTTCCGAGTTTCTCCTGTAAAGAACAGAATAAGGACAACATGGGAATTCTGTTTTGCAGTGATACTCACACTGCTTTGCACTTTGCCCAGACACTCCTGTTAAGCCATGGTGTGCAGGTGGAACATGCAGTAAAATGTTAAAGTTTGTATTGTCTTAGGCAAAGTCACTTTTTACCTAAGCACCTGAGTGTAAGGAATTTGCTGTTTCAGACACCTACTCACCCTTACCCATACTTCTGTATGTATTGCATTTTTGCTTTGTAGGGTTCTCATTCACCCATTTCTCTAGATATTTGTTCAATCAGCCATCACCATTTTACCTGAGCAGTAGGCAAGATGTGAGTTTTTATAGCCTCCATGCATGTGCATGCATAGACATGCTGTATTGGCCCAGAATAAGTAATGCTTTATCTCAAACATAGAAATATCTAACCTCTAGCTAATTTTTGAGTACTTCTCTGTAACTTTTAAGACAAACACAGTTAGAAATAACAGTAATTTAGAACAGACACAATAACTCAGTATAGAAATAAAAACATTCCACTTTAATTATTTAATGGTACGGTATATTTTATCATTCTGTTACAATGTATATTTTTAATTCAGAGTTGTATAATGCAGCATTTGTTAACTTCATCTAATTTTTTCCCAGTAATTTAAGCAGTTTCATAAGTACTCTAATAGTGTATGATGGATAAATCAGTAGCCATAAAAGAAATTACTCTATATTTTACATATCAGTTGTAAGAATTAAAAGAAAGAGAAAGAGGGATTTTTCTGAGCAATGAGAGCAAAGATTGCACATCTGAAAGATTAAAGCCCATCTTAAAAGGGGACTAAAATGTTTAAATACAATGAATACACTTAAGTATTTCCTGGAGATTAATCTATATGTAGGGTGCACAGATGAATGCATTTTAAAGGTTGGTTAAATGTCCTCAGATTGCTATAGGTCTCAGCTGTGTAGAAGAATGTACCACACCAATCCCTGAAGTTTTTTACATTTCCATGCATTAAATATAGTAGTGCATGTGCAGATTGAGGTCTCCCAGAGTATGATATAAATATATTATGAAACCAGAGAAGAAATCCTCAAAGGCCTTTGTGTGTGTCTATCAAACAAATGATTCATACACTTGGATATGTGTTAAGTGAATGAGAAAATTTTCATTTGGTACACAGACTTCAAAAGTATGTTTGCTTATTTTTTCCCTATTTGGGAATGAAATTACTAACTTTTTCATCAGCCTTATTTTGATTTTTCAACTCTGCAAATTCCGAGTGTTTTGTCCAGTTCTGGGCCCCCCACTTCAAGAAAGACATCGAGGTGCTGGAGTGTATCCAGACAAGGGCAACAAAGCTGGTGAGGGGTCAAGAGCACAAGACACTCCTGGGAGGAGTGCCTGAGGGAGCTGGGGGTGTTTAGCCTGGAGAAAAGGAGGCTCAGGGGAGACCTTGTCACACTCTACAACTGTCTGAAAGGAGGCTGAAGCCAGGTGATGGTCAGCCTCTTCTGCCGGGCAACCAGCGCCAGGACAAGAGGATACAGTCCTAAGCCGTGCCATGGGAGATTTAGGTTGGACATGAGGAAGAGGGCCTGCCCAGGAAGCTGATGGAGTCACCACCTCTGGAAGTGTTTAAGAAACAACTCGATGTGGCACTTTGTGCTGTGATTCAGTTGGTGAGGTAGTGATTGGTCAGAGGCTGGACTTGCTCTTGTAGGTTTTTTCCAACCTAAATTATTTTCTGTTTCATCAGTGAAACCTGGCTCCTCACAACATGCAAAAACTTTGGACTGTATTATGTAAGATTTAGATGATTGATGGCAAACTCATAAACAGAAAATTTACCTGTCTTTTGGGCTACTTTATCTGATGACATAGATGCCAGACTCAACTTTTTGCACTGCAGATGAGGTCTTGGACTGCAGACCAGTGTGGACTGATAAAAATCTTGCACTCTGACCTGATGTAGCTCTCTCAGAGCTGGCCTTCATTTTTTTGTGTTCTTAACAAAAATTTGCTTGTTCTGCCCTGGATTTCTGTATTGAGGAAATTCCATGTTGTAAGCATGGATTTTTTTGCATGTGAGATTTTCTAATGATAAACACGGGTTTTGTGAAATACTAGATGAGGGTACAGTCAAAGGAGTTCTAGCTGTAAAAGACTGATAGAAAGCATGTAACTTTTTGAGCAAAAAGCTCTGTTAGCAATACTGATCATGGAAGTCCTGTATGCTGGTGTTTGTTTTGAGGTAAGAAAAGTTAAGGCACAGCTTCAGCTACAAGTATACTCTATTATTTTTTTTTCTAAGGGTAGACATAAATTTTATAACTGCTATGTGTTGGAAGTGGAATGTATCTCAATAGTCTGACTTTACTGAGCAATTGGAAACCACTACAACGTTTTCAAATCACTTAGGGAAACAAAGAATATTTCAGTTTGAATCTGACCAACTTTGTCTCTTCCCTAAGTTGCTGACCAGCAAAGAAGAGAGAAACTGAGGAAGAAGATAGGCAAATGTGGAGAGAAAATAAGTGTGTGTGAAGCTCCATCCTGTCCAAGAGACAATGGAAGGCTGCTGCCATCCTCTTCTAGAAAGGTATGTATTTTAATTCCGTTTAGTATAGGGATGATCACTGCTGTGCAGCAGTGGGGGCTGATAACTTTCAAGCAGCAGAAAGTAGACAAGGGTCTGCCTGGCATGTGCCCAGCACTGAATGCATGTCTTGACCTTCTGACAAAGATGTCAGGTATCTGGATGAAGAGTGCTTGCAGTAAATACAAGCTCTAATTACCCTTGAAATCTCTTGCTTTTACCTCAGCTGAAATTCCTGTCCTCTGTCACTCCACAGCTTTGTACCATTTCCTAAGGCAGAGCTCTGTTGACTCCACCCTTCCAAGCAAAAGAATCAGGAATCTTCCATTTTTTCTTAATGAAGAGTCCTAGCTGATAATACATTTTTATCTAACAGTATACTAAATCATTCAGTTGCATTTCTTGAAAGGAGAAATAATGCTTAGACTAAAATATACCATTCTGTATGTATGTGTTCTGCTTATATGCATAGGCTGACTTAGTTTGGCTGACATTTCATCAAGATACATGGTGTGTATTTCTAACTAATAAATAAATACGTAAATAGCCCAATAAATTATATTCTTATTCATCACTGTAAATGAGTAATTGCATCTTGAAACTGAATGATTTAACTCTGTGGTTCTAACAGCATAAGCTTCATACATTGTTTAAATAGCTGTAAAGCTAGAGGACATTTCCAAGTAGTACAGCAAACACTGTCAGTTTCTTGCTGTGTGACTGATTTTTGTAGCAGGCAGCCTGAGTGTGATCTTATTGCAGTGCAGAGAAATAATGCTTTGAAATTCAATACATGGCTTCTATTTATGGATGAAAGCACAGACATGAATTAGAAAAGGGAAGAAATGTGATAATTAAAATCTAAATTTTATTTTTTATTAATACCAATTTTGTCCTTCCATGTTATTTTTTGCAAACTTGGGGCAGGCAAAGTTCCTTAAATTGTTTCAGTGCAAAACCAAGTAACATGTGTCTTTCATTACTGCGTGAACTCCCAGCTTTAAAATGAAAGTGTGCACTGTAACAAACTGCAGCTTTTTTTCTTTTTTTTAGAAATAAGATTTTCTAAATTCTATCTGAATTGAGCTAGCTGTGAGTAAAAGCTGTGATTTGAACAAGACTTGGTATTTCATATCTCATGTTCAAGTAATCCTATTAATAGGCATTTCTGGCTGCTAATGAATTTTTTAAAATAAATTAATCCATGCCAAAAGTCAGTTGAAGTAAGGCTGATTCATAGGAGGTTAAATTTTCTCTTGTAACCATTTGAAGTGTGCCATTGCCTTGACCTTTCAAGATCCCTTTCAGACTGTTTTTTGAGATTTTTTTATTTTTAATGAAGAATGAAAGTTGTGGCCATCTGCTTGTGCATATGAAATATAGATTGGGAAACACCATTAACTATTCTAGTCTCTTGTTAATTTTGTATGCAACATACGTGTGGCTGTGTGAAATGCCCACTGAAATGCTTTATATTTAAAGCTTTATTACACTCTTATAGTACCAGCAGTCTGAACAGCTATTGTGCTTAAATTGGTTCTGTCATAATGGGAGATGTCAGTGGCTAAACAAAGCAGAAGAACCTTCTGAGCATCAAAGTTGTTTTCGTTGGAAATATTCAGATTTTCTTTCAGGCTTCACAGTGACCATCACCTCTTGTACTGGTTGTTTGAATTAATGCACACTCAGTAATACCCCTTCTAAATACCATCACAATATTTGATAAAAGTAGGAGCTACTACATTAAAGAATTGACACCTACACACATGCAGAAAAGGAAAGCGTGTACCAGGACCATAGATTTGAAAAATAGTGATACCAAGATACAAACTGAGTATGTTTATAGAACGTCCAATTTGTTCACATATTTGTATGAATTTTCTATAAAAGCAGCTTGTCACTTCATATATGAGAGTTTTGCTCTGTCCAGACAGCAGAGAGCACGTGCTCAGCTGACTTAGAGCAATATTTAAATGGCTTTCTCAAGTAAATAATCATACACTCATTTATTGCAAATTTGCAGCTTCTGTGTCCTGACAGTGCAGTTCATAATGCATCTCTTTGATCTCATTTTATAATGATAGATGAACTATTCTCTTGGAAGACCTTTTCATACAAGAACAAGTTAATTTCAAGATTAAACTAATCTTACTGTAATTTCAGTGACCCCAGTGAGAGCTGCCTTGGACCTTTTATGAAAAAGTATTTAGTAACCTTTCTTTTCAAAGTCTGGTTTTTATAAGGCAGCTGATACTTTAGTGGCTTTTGAGCTGGGAAACTAAAATTCTTGTAGAAATTAAAAGTAACATATAGAGAAATCTGGATTCTTCCCCGTCAGTTGACAGCAGTATGCTTTGATCTCTTTTTACTGAATTTTCTCTTCCACAGAGTCCATGAAAATTCAGAGGTCTGAATGCAAAATGCAAAGTACTGTTCAGTTTACCCCAGTTTTAAGACTAATAACATTGAAGTAGAAATACATACTTTATGAAACTTGTAAAAGGAGTTGCTGAAATGTATCATTGAGTGGATTTGTGTCTTTCAAAATGGATTATACTTAGTTGAATTAACAGAATAGAAACATATTGATAAGCAAGATACAAGTCAAGATTTTTTTACTCCAAATTACCTGGGTTATAGTTCTTGATAGTTCTAATAGCTAAAGCTCAGATACTATAATGGAATTTTTTTAAATTTTGTTTGAAGAATAGAACCAAATATATTTTAACAAGTGTGCTATTTGTAGGCATGTTTTTGTCTTTTTTTTATTTCTTATTTAAACATCTGATGTTTTTTATAGAAAACAGCAGAAAGTGAACATGCTTGCAGTTTATTTGCAACACAGGATAATTTTTTGAAAGTTCAAAAGAGACAAATTGCAGACAAACAGCATTCTCTGACACTCCTTAAAATCTTTTGAAGTGACAGAGTCCCTTGTTCATGGTATTGTTTCTTTGTCTACTTGGAGGGTATTTCTCTCTGTTTGAGTAGGAAAGTTTTGCCTCAGGATAAGGGTTTTGAAAGACATTCTGTTCTCTGTATTAGAATGAGTACATCTCACAGCTGACACAGATGCAGCTTTGGGTTGCAATTCTCTCTAGTCACGAGTGAGCTACTTGGTCTGTTCTACTTATGAAATATTTGAGAAGGAGAAGAAGATAACTGCCCTAAGCTTCCTCATGTATAAGGAGTGCTTAAATTTAGGATATTTCCCTGTCAACCTTGTGCTTTTGTCTTGTTTTGTATCAACTCAACTGCTTCTGAGGAACAGAACAGATAATTTTCATGAGGTGTAGATAAATAATCAGCTAATACAACTTTGTATCTTTTCTTAATAATTATTTTGCATAATGCAGGGAACCAGTCCTCATATGCTCACAAATGCTTCTACAATACCATTTATATTGCAGCTCAATGAACTGCTTTGGTCACTGAGAATAAAGCATTTACAAGAATTAAGCTGTTTATAATATACACTGAAGGGTATGGAATTAGCTTTTATCTATGTAGGTGGATGCTGAAACTTTCCAGTCTTATCTGTGTTCTGTAGTGCTGAGCTACCACTGCAATTACTTTATATGCAAACAATCAGCTGGTAAGCCTTATTATTCTGCTTGCTAATACAGGCATTTGTTTGGCATTGTAACTGCATGTTATCAGTTCAGCATTTAATTATGCTGTAGTAGTAAAATACAGTTGACTCACATGAGACACCATCAAGAAGAGCTTATTTTACCTCAGCTAAATAAAAGAAAACTTCTTTGCATTAGGCACCAGCAACTCTGGATATTCTGGGGTACTGGAATAGTTTAGATAGGTCTTACTGATGAGAGAAAAAATAGTTTTTAAGGAAATATATGGCAGTGTGATCTGTGACTTAATTTTCATTATGAAATATCTGCATTTTTAATATCCCTGTAAATTTCATTTACTGCATGCTACAAAATGTATATTCATCATAATTGAACTTTAATTTAAAATATTGTGTTTGAAAGGGAAAAAAAATGAAATAATGTAGATTCTAAGAAACAGTAGCAGTGTTATGGGAAAATGGAGCATTTATACAGTAAGAGTCTATTGCTAAGAATTTTTAGAAACACCTTTTTTAGGGTTGAATGTTAGTATAGAAAATCTGTGTATATTTACAAGTTATACTACCAATTATATAGGTTAATATGCTACACTATATCTTACTGGTTTACTAGTAATATATTACTGTCTTACACTATCTATTTGTAGCTTAGAATGTAATGGATTTTCAATAAATGTATAAAGATTTCCAGTTTTGGTCATTGGGGTTTTTTCTCTCCATGCTTACCCCAGTAGGAGACTTCAGAAGTCTCAGGACAAATATTGATTATCTTGCAGAATCCCCACAGGCACTTTTTTTTACAGTTGTTTTTGTGACTTTTGTTGACATTCATTGCATTGTCACTTCCTGGTGGGGTAAATCACACATCCAGCCTTCAATCCACATCTTAATGAGCTGATTATTTTCAAAAATGTAAGTGTTCTTGAGGATTTTCTCAAGATTTATATTGTGCTCAGGCAATGAAGCCCCATTGGAAATGCACTGGATCTGTGTTTCAGTCTTACTCTCTCAAAGTAGTTCCCACATATCTTAATTGTGAGACCAGGATAGGCTGCTTGGTGAATCTGTGAATCTTCTCAACTGGCATTATGGTTGTATGTCATAAATAAATGCATGTCACAGCACATGTATAGGTTATACCATACTGCATGTCTCTTTCTCAGGCTCCCTATAGGGCACGTGTTCCTTCAGTAACTTCAGTAATGTAATGTTTCTGCTTAATAGTTTTTACTTGCTTGCTAGAAGTATAATAGAGATGAATGAAACACGTATTAAAATAATCTTTGTTTTCTTCCTTTTGTCACTGCAGAGCTTATGGTCTGTACTGGAGTCTCATTATCTTCCTGTTCTTTGTTCAGGTGGTGAAAGTATATGGACAAGTGTTAGCCTATCTGAACTAGACTTCCAATTTGTTAAAAACCTCAAATGGCCTTAGAAATTTAATTTTCTTCTTAGTAAACTCCTCTACTTGTCTTAAAATCTTACAGCACTTTGTTGCTGATGATGTGGACCTATATAAACTGCCCTAGTGTTGGGAAAGTATGATAGTAATTTTAGAAAGTTAGCTGTTGTTTCTGATTTGGGTTTTCTCAGATGTTATATTTCAGTCGTTGTTTTGTCTGGTGGATTGCATGGTACAGCAGTGAGATTTTCCAGAATAAAATTATCCTCAGCTTGTCTCCCTCAAACTGTTGCACTGTAAGCCCTGTCTCTGGGAGTTGTGGTGCTAGATAGAGTAACACAGTGGGAATAATCTTTTCTGCATCATACAGTTGTTGAATTTCATAAATAGTTACGTGTGTGGATGCAATAAATTGGTTTATACAAAATTTTGTTTGCTGATAGGCTTCTGGTTTAATCTTCCAGTTCTGCAGTATGCCTGCCCTGCCCATAGAGACTGTAAAGTGTCATACATAATTTTCACTGATTGACAAACTATTCAGTGGATGACACTGAATATCCTAGGTAGGAAAAAAGCATACAACAGCTGTTTTCATAAGGTGTTTCAAACACATTGTAAAGCAAAATTACGAATGTGCATACCCTGTCCAGGTATTTAAGCTTTCATATTGCAATTTTTTCAAAACTCTATGACTGAAATAAAACTTTTATTTAATTGTTCTTTTTAAGATAAAAAAAACAAACAAAAAAATTATCAAACCAACCAAAAATCCTACCTTAAAATATCACTTGAATTTAGCTGTGTTTCTGTCTTATTTGTCTTTGCCACATGTCATAATACAATTCCAGAATAGTTTTGAATTTTTAAGCATGGGATAATTATAGATAATGTCTGCCTTAGCTTGCCCAAGTGGTATGAACAGAGCATATCCAGATAAGATAATTTGCCTCAGTGGAATGATTTCTTGACTTCTAAAAATGGACTGATTAAACTCTTGGTTTGATGTAGCCATCAATATTTTGTAATAGAGCACCGATGTTTTGCTACTGAAGTAAACCATTTCCTTATTACTCTCTTATTTCCAGTGACTAGGTTTTAAAATCTGTTAGCACTGAGGCTGCTGTGAAACCCGTTTGATTTTACAAAAATTGGAATTTTTTACTTAGAAAATACCTTCAAGTTGGTAATTCCCAGTTACCAATTGGGTAACTCCCAGTAATAGCTGGGAGTACCAGCTAAAGGAAAGCAGGTAACTTGCAAAATGATGAAATGTTGTTTTATTTTTTCCTAGAGTCTCTTGGAAGCAGAAGACAATGTCTCACCCTCTGCTGAGCAGGCACAGTACCTACCAAGAGCAGCATCTCCTTATGGCGAGGGTTGCTTGGTTCACTCCAGTCCAGGGCAATGCATCAGGAAATGTTCTCAGAATACGTGCAGGGCACCTTACTCACACTCCAGTGTCTGTGTGTCAAGGCCCCCAGGGAAACGCTTTGCAGTTCCCCGCAGCCACTCCATCGAGAGCTTTGTGACCATGAGGTGCCAGAGGTGCCACAGAAGCCACGCCAGAGCCTGTGGCGGGGATCTTCTCGAGAGGCACTCTGAATACTTCACTAAGAGCCGAAAACCTTTTACTCCACGCACCTTAATATCAGATGCTAAACCTTTCCTGTCAGAGTACAGGTTTTACACTCCTGCTCAAAGGAAGAAGAAAAATCACCACAAGCAGTGTGTGGAAGCTCAAACACAGACTGATATGATCAGGTACAGAGATTGAAACTTTATTATAAAACCCTGGAATTTAGATATTATCATAACATTATCTTCATGAAGGCAAGCTGTTTTGCTCTCATTACATTTATATAAAACCAGAACAATTATACTGATGCCTTATTAGAACTTAGAACTAGAATAATTATTCTAGATATACCTTAGCAAAAGCTAAAAAAGAATGTGATTTTCCTTTTTTCACTGGCATATTTTGCTGTCTTCTTTCTTGAACAACTGCTTTAATTTATACGGATTGGATACAAAGTGCCACTAAATTCAAACTGTGGAATCTCATATCTGCTGGGGATAATTATTCTCTCTCTCTTCCCTATGCTCTCTGATGTATAGTTCTATCTTGTAGAGAGTTAACCAATATAAGCATGCAATTAGTTCCCCACTGTTGCCCCCGTAGTCTCATGCTTTCCAGTGTGTTAATTAATACATCATGCAAACATCCTTTTTTAACTCCTGAATGCAGCTCTTCTTTTTTTTTTTTTTTTAATTTGAATACCTTTGGATATACCTTGTATAAACTATTTTAAACAAAATTAGTGTCCTCTTGCATTGAACTTCCTACCAAGTTGAACAATTCTGATTTATTTTTGTGCTACCTCATAAAGATAAATATTTTCCCTTTTGTGTCCACCATGCCTGCATGTCCAACTCCAGTTTTGTCATAGAATAAATCAGGAAATTCCTAAGACTGGAATTATGATAGCTTTGGCTCTGTATTGCAACTGTTGATTTTTTGGCTGTAGGTTGTCTATTTTCCTGGTGCACATTTAATTTTAGGATCATCTCCATTCTTAATTCTGAACAATTATTTTGAATAATTCAGTTATCCCCTGCTAATATGCAGCTAAATAATTAATTTGGATCACCTGTCTGTCATAAATTTTCTGACCTGTTCAGTACTACATTCTGTTCAGGTCAATGAGACATTTCCACAGTGGCGCTGCTATTCTCATCCTGCATTTTTTGAAAGTAGTCTACTTGGGAATCTAATACCTCTCTAAATTTTTTAGTTTTCCATCTGCAGACAAAGTGCATGTGAGAAAAGTTATGGGTGAAAAGCAGAAGATCAAATCAAAGGTAATAATGCATCTATCAGTCATCTGGGTACTCTGCCCACACCCACCACCATCACTGTGGAGTAATACACCTCATCACTGCCACAGCAGTGAGGAGCTGATTTAGGTGTTATCTCTATTGCCATGGCATGAGTTAGTTACATAGAGGAGAGAGAATTTCAGAACACTGAGTGGAAACTATAAGAAAAAACACTGAGGCACATGAAGAGATCTTCTTTTCTTTTTATTTTTTTATTGTTTCTATAAGTGCACTATCAAATACCTGCTAAGGTCACAGATAATTGGTACATGACTTTCCAGCAGAAGAAGGTGCCCCATTTGTCTGTTTATGCAAAGTTTCTCAGAAGAGACATGGAATTTCTAGGGCTGCTTAATCACAGAAACCATTAGATTTCATCTTAATGGTAAAATTTGCTGTGCATTTGCACTGATAATAAAGATTTTTATTTCTGTGTTGTAGGCTGAAGATAAACTGTACACTTTGGATGAGCCTGAGAGAGGAGTAGATGGTTTTCAAGACTCCATCCTAAGGTGCCTGATTTACAGCAGGAGGGAATATTTGAAATGTTCCTTTCTGTACAGCTGGTCCTTAGGCCATAAGTCTTCAGTAGCATTTCTCTTTATAAGTCTTCTTCTACAGAACTTCTATTGGTTTTTTTTATATCAATGGCCTTTCCCAACTTGTAAAATCATTATTTTCTGGTGATAAGTTCCAATGGGAAGCCAATTAAGAAAGACAGCTCTGAAATATATGAGTATTTTTGTCAGAACTGACTAATGAAACATTAATACAGTTGTTAGTTCTGTACATCTGAGCTCACAGACTACATAGTACTATAACTAAATACTGCATTGCAGCAGCATTTCCCACATCTTTTTCTGAAAACTTAATACTGGGATAGCTGCAATACAAGAGCAGTGTTGGAAATCAGGCCAGAGCCCAAGGGCTCCCAGCTGACTCTCCTCATTGCTGACCTGAGTGTCACGCATGACTCGCTGATTTGCTCTCTGGCCTTTTCATACAAAGACATTTTTATCTGAGGAAATAAAAGGTACTCTGAGTTAAAAAAGCATTCTTGCAGATAACAGAGATTGAATAGCATCTGAAATAGCACCGAGGTCTTCTGAGCACTGCTTCAAGTGAGGTGGTGTAATACTCTTGAACAGCAGTCTTTCAGGTTTCAGTGCCAGCAGGGGATTTTGCTGCTGGAGCAGGGTTTAGGGATGTTATGGTGGGGTTTTTTGTGAAAGGAAATCATATAATGGCACTCCATGGCTCCAGAAGAAAATTGCATGTAAGGTAGTATGAAAAGGGTTTAGAATGTTATTCTTTTTCTTGCCCTCTGATTTTCTGATTAGAGGGACATCATGGTGTCTTCAGAAGTCTTCACCAAAGAGAACTGTCAGTGATGAGTAAGTATGCTTTTAAACCATTTTTCTTCTCATTTACAACATCAAACTAGAATTTAGAATGTTATTATTTTTCTTGCCCTCTGATTTTCTGATTAGAGAGACATCATGGTGTCCTCAGAAGTCTTCACCAAAGAGAACTATCAATGATGAGTAAGTAGGCTTTTAAACCATTTTTCTTCTCATTTACAACATCAAACTAGAAGGCTTTCCTCAAAACTGATGAACTTAAAAAATAAAATACTTTAAAAATTTTATGTGAATCAAAAAATAAAATTCATTTTAACTTCAGAAGATTGTATAGTGCCTAGTTTGTTTCCATTTCTTTTCAGGTCTGTAATCTCTGCTGCAAATATTGGCAAATTAAACACCAAATTGAAAGGCATTCTTACCGCATTTCTGACATTTGATGAAAATTAGAAGAGTTTTGAGTTATATTCAGAAACACTACTAAAGCTTCACCAAGTGGCCTTGGAAAAGTCATTTAATTCTTTGTGCTTTAGGACAGGCTTGTGTTTGCCTAACTTAAGGCTTATAATAGAGGTCTCAAATACCAGCAGTAGGTAACTTTTTTGACTATAGAGGGAAACAAAATTACAATCTTCAGGCACAATAACAAATTTTATGTAGTGAAAATCATGCAAGATGTATTCCATTTTTTTATTTTCTGTTTATTAAGACTGGAGAATGACTCAGTAGAGTTTGACTGGATGCTTTGGAAGACTTAGAAAGATACTATGAAGGAGACAGCACTGAAATATTTTCTTTTTGGGTTTTCTTTCCTGTTGTCATTCAAGCAGAACTCCAGACTTTTTGAGTGTCCAATTTAGAGTAATTGGCATCAACAACTCATTTAGAGGTACTAAAATAGAGATAAGAGGTGAAAGTCACATCTCACACTAAGATTTTATTCATCAAGGAGATATGTTTAAATGAGTGGATGCTGCCAAATAAGGAGTTAAATCCTTCTGAGCTTCCATTTAGGACCCGCAATTTTCAGCTGCAGTCAGATTCTCTAGAAGCTCCTTTCGAAGCTTATACCCAGAGCATCAAACTGCAATTGTACACTTTCTTCCCAATTAGCTCCCCTTTCTTGACTGCAATGCAGGTTCTGAACACTTGCCAAGATTCACTGATTCCCTTGCTTGGGATCTCTCTGCTAATTTATACCACCACAGAAAGTTAGCATAAAGACAAAGCACCATGACCACCTTTATAACAGTCTCATATTTTGCAGTTTTTTATTATCCAGATTGAACAAAAGGCTTAGCTTGTCATGATAGCCTTACCTTTTATGAAACATAACTGCTGATACAAAAACTATAAAATCTTCTTAATGGCCTTTCCAGTGAAAGTGATTAAACCTACTAAAATACGTCATATGTGTTTCTGTGGTAAAGCATTTAACACTGGGGTTTCTATTCTCCCTGCAGAGAAGAGGAGCTGTTGTATATAACTTTCATTGAAGATGTTACAAATGAAATTCTTAGACTTGGCTTATTTTCTAACAGGTAGGTTACAGTTGTTCTCAGTTTTGAAATGAAATTTTGCTATGTCAGAAACCCATGGACTCCATAAATAAGAGAAGTAGTGATTAGTAATAATTTCTTTATACATGCATATATACAGTTAGCCCTTGCTTTTGTTTTGTTTCCTCTTCATTTTTGCTTTATGTAAGAAAGGAGAAGTAGGAAATACTTTAGGGTCATCAACTTTGATCTGCTCCTGTGTACCATGACATAAAAGCTTCTGTTAAAACCTGACCTGGAACCCTAGGTGGAAAAAGACTAAGAACTCATTTTAGTCTGCAACATCTGTTTTGCTAAATAAACTGAGTTACTAATCTTTAACACAACAGGTCCTTTGTCCCCTTCTGTTCTTCCTGTTCCAGTATGAATTCAGTCTTCAACATCGGTTGCAAGGGTTACATTCTCTTGCATACAAAAGTTCACCAGCTGTTTTCAATATGATACTGGTTCTTTCTAATGAAGAACTCTCAATTTATGAAAAAAAATTGCAGTATTTTTATAAATATATAGAATATGTATACAGAATCTTAACCCATTTTTGAAATTCTGCATTCAAGGCAGTCTTAATTTCATAATATTTTTTATCTTGCTTTGGGTTGATAAGGTTCCCAGCTAGTTTTGGTATTCTATGTGCTCTTATTTTCTTCTTCATATGTCAAGGCTGTCAATAAGAATACTAAATACACCAGGTAAAAATAATCTCCAAGAAATTTTGAGAGCAGTCTACCTCTGGCCCTTTACAGTAATTTTTTTCTTCCACTAGGGCCCTTCTTAGGGGTGCCATTCAGCTAAGAAATGGAAATAAAAACCTACTGTCATTAGGTTATGTGCATCTGGTAAAAGTTGTTTTTCCTCCTGTGAAATAATTTGATTTTTTATTTATAGGGTTCTGGATAAACTGTTTGAGTGCCATATAGAAGAGAATAAGGACCGCCTTGATGAGGTATGTGCTGCCCTTACAGTGGTCTCTGCATATGACTTAGGTGACATTTCCAAAGAGCAGGGCAAATGCACAGGTATATTGGAGGGTAAAGGTAACCAGAATACTCAGTGGGGAGCCTCTCTCTTTCCAAAAATGAGATCATCTCACTCATGGATCACAGCAGATTGGGAGTCACAGGTACAGTGACAAAGACTGGAAAACAGTCCGTTCAGTTTGGTGACACTCAATGTTTAATTTAGTCACTTGACTGCAAGCAGCCTCCTTGTCCTTCTGTCAAGAGTTAAGCCCTGAGTCTGAGCAGTGCCCAGGTGCCATAGGGCTGGAGAAGTGTCACCCTTTTCCTCCTTCACTCCTTAGGGCAAAATGCGCCAGATGTTGGATGTGCTGAAATCAGACCTTGGCTGCAGCGAGGACAGCATGACAGAGATAATCTATGCAGGTCAGGAAGCCTCGGGCCCACTGGATCTGCAGGAGTTTGATACAACAGAAGAGCCTGAGTGTACCAGTAAAGGTCACAAGCTGAGGAAAGCTACAAAAAATGAAGAATTCCTTGAGTCCGTGGACTTGTTAAAGAAACCAGACATATGTGAATCACTGTCACGGAGCAGGAGGTCAAGGGAGACACGGCGCAAGGAGGACTTCTCAGAAGATACCATAGAAATTATGGGTGCTGGGACAGAGTCTGATTTCTGTGGTGAGGAATTTGAACACTCAGACACTTCACCCACCCGTGAGGCAGCTTTAAATTTGGCTGCTTGTGACAGTGATTTGGAAGTCAATGAGGAACTTGATGAACTTGGGGAAGACTTTGCAGAGGCCCTTCACATTTCACGTAACTATTCATAACTGTAACCAAAGCTTACCTGTTAAACAGGAATAGAGCTCCTTCTGTGGTGAACTGCCATTTGTCAACCAGTAGTAAATTGTTCAGTTTATTTTCAGTTATTTCTGTTTAAATATTGCTAAGATCTCTGTAGCAGGATACTATTAACTGGGCATTAATTTCTGTGTAAGTTAGATCTTAAAGGATAAACAGTCAGGTATCAGAAGAATTTTGTGTATTTTGCCCACAGTTGTATAACTCAAAAAAAACTTAAGAATATTAAAACCAGATTTATATTTTTAGGGCTGTAATACTAAGTTATGAAATATTTATTCATTTAAATAAATTGATTGATAGTGCAGCTGCAGTCCTGCTATAAAGATCTGAGATGTTTAGTCTGCAAGAATTCAACAACTTAACATAAACTCAACATCAATGTCCTCTTCCAGAATGGACAAACAGTTCCACCATGTAGTGTGCTATGTTACCACTCGCAGAAGCCCACAAATGAAAAATCAAACTATTTCACAAGAAGAAAATCCAAATTTTTACAGATCTATGTAGATTCACAATTGCAGTTTTTTATTTTCAGTTCTTAACTGAATGAGACTGCTAAGTTCGATTCTTTGCACTGATGACAGCCATGGCATAGCATTCTGCATCAAGCTTTGGTTTTGTAAAAGGATTGAATTGCTTACTGTTTGATGACTAGGACTGTGTAGAAGAGGACACATCAGGCACCTTGTACAGCAAATGGGGAAGAGGTGGTGTATTTTCTGGTTTAAGTGTAAATTGAAGTTAGTACATGCATTGCACAAAATTAACCCAAATGTCATTGATTAATCAGTGTACAGCTATTGCCTGACATTCCCATTGCTGCAGAATGAGCTTAAGAGGTTCTGAGGAAATACTTGCAAGTTGCATTGTCTTGCTGTGGGTGAGGAACTAGGAGTAGTCTTAGGAACCTGGATAAAACCTGTCCTTTATATCTCCTAGGGTTAGTTTCTAACCTTCTTTCTCCAAGGACGAGCCCAAATTGTACCAGTTCTTACATAGCAACTGCCACCACCTGCCTCCCCTGTGCCTTGTGAGCATCGACCAAGGTTTGTGACTCCGTAGCCAGATGACCCATTGCAGCTTAAAGCAGCTCCAATAGGCACAGACCGCTGCTTCACTTATGAGGCATAAACTTCATAAGACAAAAAGGAAATGTCAAAAAACAGCTAGAGGAAGCTAGTCAGAGAAAAACATGTTTGGCACAGTCACAGCACTGCAGTGCAGAACACAGTTCCCACTTTCCTGGGTACCTTGTCCACAATAATAAAACTGCACTTGTTGACAATGACAGAAAACGAGAGTTTATTTTAGCCAGGTACATGTGGCTGGGCAGATGGGCACCAGCCTTTCATCTGCCATACTCAGTTGGCTGCCTTGTAAGTCTGGCCTGCAGCATGAGTGCTCTGGCTCACTGCAGGTGAGAAAATGAGAGGACTTCTTCATCCCCCCACCAGAGCTGTCTTGTTGAAAAGATGTGACCAAAGGGCTGAGTCGGTACAGTGCAGGGAGGGTTTGTCCTCAGTCACAAGTGATCACAGACCTTCTCCCATCCTCCAGGAAACTCTCTCTATTCGAAGGGATGCCCTAGGAAACTTGTTTCTACTTTATGAAGAATTCTGACACACTGGGACTGGTTTGAAAACTAAAGAGCATGGCTTGATGCATACAAGTATAAAGCTTCTTTGCTCCTCAGACAGGACTTCACCCACTCTCGCGGCTCTCCATTCCAAGTTCTCCATTCTTGGTCAATAATCAGAATTTAGAGATTTTTCCCTACCTATCTCTACACTTGTGACTTGTACATTGTAAAAAATGTCACTCAGCAAACTTCAGCTTCTTGTGAACATGAGTCTGATTAAAGATTAATATGAATTTCACCTTCAAATGAAAAAATAATGTAGTAAATACTGTTCACACCACAGCAGTGAACCTCACAGAAAGGCATAAGTAATGGCATACTAATTTCCTGTAATACAAGTAATGCAAAAATAAATAAAAACAGTTCCTTGACCATATTTCCTGTTGACAAACTGTCTCAACATCAACGACATTTTTCTGAGTAGATGCAATTTAAGAGGAAATAAATTGATTAAAACAGACCTTTCACAAAGAAAGCACCTGTCTGCCTAACTGGTAAGTGTGAATGTTTATTGGATCCACAGTGAAATGTCTGGTAAAGAACCAGAGAATTACACACCCCAGTATCCAGAAACTGGAGCAGTCAGTCCAGTCCAAAGAACTGGTTTCTCTCATTGTAGAGGCACTCCTATCAGATAGTAGGGAAAAAACATTCTAGATAAATGTTACCTATATAAAATCAGTTTATCTGCAGATCCAAGAGCAAATTCAGGCTGCCTTGGATTTAAGACTGTCTCTCTTCTATTCACATTTACTTTTAAGGTGGTGCTTAAAACGTAGGTTTTTTAAAATACCTTGATATGGAAGCTTGACCCACATCACTGATAAGATTAATCAACACTACAAGGCTTGGGGATTTTTTCTGAGGGTTTCAGTTGGTTTGGTTTAAATTTTTTTCTCTCAACGCATTTTACTTTGTGTTACACTCAAGCCTTGGCAAAAGCAGTAGCAGAACAAGGCAGTCGCACACCACTACATATCTGAATCCTTCAGATGTAACTAACTTAGGAGCAGTCAGAAGCAGTGATCTGCAATGTAAAAACTTTTTTTTTTTGCCCAGATTCATGTGGGCCATGAGTACATACATCATAACATCAATGTTCTTTTCAAATAGACAAAAGCCTGCTAGTGTTACTTTGCTCTACCAGAATGACCTCTTATCTTTAAAGCTACAGTTTTGTCATCACTGCTCTTTTTTTTCAAAGGTAGAATTCTGTTTATTTACAAAGCAAAGTGGGGCTTTTGGTCATTTGAAGTAAAGATAATTGGGATCAAAGGAAAAAGGTGCTTACATGTCTTAGGGTTGACCAGAAAAAAAGCAGCTTCAAGCCATCCTTTTATCCTTGATCCACCCAGTGTCTAAAGCCACATAATTTTCATTTAGACTTAGCTGCAGAATGACTTCACAATTTTGTTTCTCTGCATTTCTATACACTTTATCACTTATAGCTATGCAAGAGTAGTTGTAAGAACGATGCAGCTCAACTCACAGCATTTCACTATTCCAAGTACAAATGGCTCCATTGGACAATGGGAAAAAAGGGACTACTTGTTTCCTCAGTAATGTTTTGTGCAACATTTATGAGCAAGAGAACTAGAACATCAGCATAAATAAAAATTAGGCCCAGGAGTTTCATTTGTAGCCCCTAAGGCAGGCTGTTCCATTGTGGTGACAGCACAGTTTCTAACCAACAACATGTTCTAATAATGCCCTTTAGTGCATGATTATTGTTCTGTGTCTGAGTACCCGGAGAGCCCCAGGCCACAGCCTGGAATAAGTAGAAATACCAATGGAAAATGAACATTAAAGAGAGTAGAGGAAGAAGGGACTGGCAAAAGGGAAGTTGTTACTGATTCCAGTACAACTTACAACTTACGTTTTAAGTCTTCTAAAGTGAGACCTGTTCTTGGCTAGAGCACAGGTGCAGAGTAGAAATTTAGGTGCCACTTGTTAACATTGGCCTTCAAATGTATTTTACCTTTGTGTGTATACCTATATATACCTAACGCATGATACCACCTTTTTTATCACAGCACTTGTATTTGAGACCTAAAAATTTATGCAAAGGGGAAAAAAATAGAAAATTGGAACTCGAGGTCTACTTTACAAAGCTGTGGAAAAGTCCAGTATCCCACTTTAATTTTTGACCACCCAAGACAGGAGTGTATGTAAGCAAGTGCAGGGCACTGCAGCTGTGTGATGTCTCCAAAGCCATCACTTTTTCTCTGGCATTTCCCAGTTTTATTCTGGCACTTCACTTAACCTGCTGTTCTCAAGAGCTGACACCTGGTACATACACAGATTACAAGGAACAGAACAGCAACCAGCAGTTTTAACAAAAATCATTTCTCACTCTCCAAAACAACCAAACCAGATACAAGCAGTCCAATCTTCCTGTTTCCTTTAGTGAAATCGGCTTCATTCAGAAACAACCACCTTCAGTTTGTATTCCAGTAGTAAAGCAAGAGATAAGCAGACAGGTGAGCAGTAAATTAATCTGCAGCCATTGCCCCAGCATGGGTCACAGCCAGTCAAAGGATCCAGTTTCAAAACCTGTAGCAGGTCGTGGGCCAGCGGAAGCTGAGCATGTCACAGGGATAAAGCATCACTGGGAAGGGAAAAGAAGAATCAGCAGTTGCCACTGGCTCAGCAAATCATCTGAGCTGTAGAACACCCACCCATAGCTCATCACTGTTTCAGCCACCTTAAAGAAAGCCTAGGATGACTCCGGGGTGTCAGGCAGTTGAGGAGTAGAAACAAGATTTGTTAATTCCAGTGAAGGGTACCAAAACCAAGGATGAAGTGTGTGGGACTTTCCTGTTCTCTGTAGAAAGTCTCCAGAATAGCTGGGTTCCTAATGGTACCTTTTAGCTCACCCACTAACCTAATTCTAGCTGACAGCAAAGGCCAGGAGATGTGCCTGACAGCCAGGTGACAACACACAAAACTTCACTTGCATTCATCTTTGAAGCCATGACACTGGCCTGCAAAAAGCGTAGGCTCTCAACCCAACACCACATTTTAGGCTGGAGGATGCCAGACATCCCCACAGGGCACCAACACAGGCTGCTGCCGTGCCCTTGCTGCTCTTGTGTATCACTGGCTTCAGCATACACAGGTTCCTCTGCAATGCTTCCAGCATTTCACTCCCACACTGGGGGAATGAAATCGGACCTTGAGAAGGGCAAGGAAAGGCTACATAAATGGAGTAGGGAGGCCTCTGAAACCTGAGAAACTCCAACAGAGCCTCAGGCTGGCAGGCAACAGAGTTGTGCTGTCCCATTCTCGTAGAGGACAGGCAGCGTGATCTGTAGCACGAGGTGCAGAGCTCTCTGCAGTTATCCCAAGAATTCAGCAAGCCTGTAGGACTCCCCTTACAGTATCTGTGTGAGGGCTGCAGCATACCTTACATCTCACAGCAGCCAGAGACTGGTTCCAGATGAGTAACACAACTATGAGTTGACCCCAGCTCTTCCCAGTATCCATTTCTCTCGCTCATAAGCATGCTCACATGCCAAAGAAGTGAAGCAACGTGTTAAAGGCCATCAGCTCTCCCGTCAGCCTGAGAATTCCTTGCAGGACCTCAGAGGTGTAGCCTCTCCAATCAGAAATTCAGCTCAGAGGCATTTGGCACCATGCTTTTTCCCAATGTTTGACACAAGTGAAACCAGAGATTATACAGATAGCACAGGTTTGAAAGCTGGCTATGAGGCTTCCCAAAAGCTGGGCACAACTATCTAAGATAACAGTGAATTGTAAGAGAAAGGTAGAAGAGCTCCTGAAGCTCTTGGTTTTTCCTTCCCCAGACACAAGCTTGCATAATGGCTACTCCCACCCCACCCTGACAGCTTTTAGCCTTATACAGGGAGCTTCAGCCTAAGCATCAGTCTTTAAAGGCCCTTGCTATGACTTTCCATAGGGTGTGTTTTCTCCATGGTCCTCCTCACTATTTGAACATCTTAGAGTCTCTGTTCAATTCACTTTATGGTGCTATCTGATCTCCCCAAAGGATTCTTAGGCACATCTCCCCAGCCAGCTCCTTGTTCCTCCCTTTACCTGAGGAAGGAGCTGGCAGGTGAGAGCACAGCCCTGCCACAAAACACTGTGGTGCAGTCTCAGGCACGCTCCAGTAACAAAGCTCAGGGGCAGGTGAGTGGTAGACTGAGCCAGCCCCTAGCCAAAGTTACCTTCCCAAATATCAGGAAATTCAACCTGTAGTATTTGTGAAGCATTTTCAGAACGTCCATTACTCTCAGTTCTGCTTATTTGTCATTATTTAAACACTAGCACTGTGCAGAGGGATAAGGCTGACCCTTTCTCCTGAAAACAGGCTTGATAGCATATATGCACTGAAAATGCTAAACTCACCATGGCAGCCCTCCTAACACCATGGCACTGAGGACAAATTTGCTCTGACTGCAGGGAGTGCATACACTCAGCAATGCTCCTTATTTTGGGTTGATTGAGCTTTTTTGCAGTGCATCAAAGCTGCTACATCTGATACCTGTCATTTGGATTCCTACTGTTGTTCTGGGTGAGCTGGGAACTTCTCTCATCAGCTCCCATACGTTTCTCGTGTACCAAGTCCTGGAGCTCTTGCCCAAGAAAGCTTCTGGCCAGATGTGCCAAGCATCAAGTCATGTCCTGTCAACCAGCTCTGGCTACCAGAAGTCTCTAATGGGGATTTTACAGTGGCTGGAACATAACAACTGCCGTTTAAAACCATCTGGATTAGGAGGAAATTTAGGTTTCTGAAGATACCTTTGCCAGAGGTCTAAAACCAGTATAAATAGTAAGTGTGATCAAAACTGCTGAATGCTTCACCATGAGCCTCAGGTCCCAGGAAGTCCCATTTTCCTCCTCTGACTTTGTATCCATGTCTAATAAAAGAGCTTTGCTTACAATGAGCATCGCACAGGACATTCCCCAGGACTTGGGAACTGCTCTGACAAGTACAGATGTATCTATGGTTTGTAACTGTCTTACCTTAAGCTGATTAATGTCCTCAAACTGAGTGCACCTAGAAGACAAAATTTAGTTAAAAGCCTGATTTTTTCAGATGTAGCTAGGTGGATAATGCTCTTGACAAAGCAAAGACAATAGAAATGCACTTGTCCAGTGTGAAACTACAATGTCCAGTGTGCAGTTCTTCCATTCACCTCACAAAGCCTCACGCTGTACCAGGTGTATAGAGCAAGCTGCTGCAGCACCTCCCTTTTTAACTCATTGCCAATTCTAGAATGAAAATAACTTCAGTGCTTGTTGTTGGCAGCAGCTCCAATCATAGTAAGCATACAATCAACTGTTTCTTCTCTCACATGCTTTTGGAAAGGGTTCTCCAAATTTCAAAAGTTTTTAATGCCTCCTACACTTAAA